CATTAATTGGAAAACTGTTCTGTTGGAGGTTTCAAGTTTGCAAGAGCTGAGATTCACTCATATTCACGCCATGTTTTTTGGGGTTGGCCACCAGAGGTTCTTTTCGAGGCCGTCACGAGCAGGTCTGAAACCAATCTGCATTCACCATCCATTGAGCTTCACAAATCCATCTATGCTCTCTCAAGGTCACCTGCTGTTCCAAAGCACAGTAGGGGTTTTATGATGTTTTGTGAGCCACCATTAACCCCGATTTTACAGGGTTGCTCCAAACCTACCAAGAAGGTAAATGAAAGCCACTACTGTTTGGGGTGAATATTGCGAGTTTACCTCTCTACCCAATTTACCCCCCAAACATATCCGCGGTGTTGGGAGCAACCATGTATAAGAGGCTTATTCAACCCCTGTTCTTTGGAGCTGTGAGCGCCTCTCGGTCGTCGTCTGGCGAAGGCATGTTCTCTTCTACCGGGGTATCCGAGCGGGCAAATCTGGCCAGCGGTTGGCTGGTTTCTATGCCCAGCAAACAATGGTAGGTCACAAGTCCAAGGGGCTAGTGATCTAAAGTAAGGACCTTAGACGCTTAGACCTTGCTGTAGACAAAGAAGGAATGCTGGACAAATCTCAATTGGAATAGGCACAAATACCAAATGTGCATGGATGCATATCCATTGCCACATATTGGGACCTTAGGTTACCAGTACCCCTCTATCTTTCAAAACATGGGTGTGATATGTTCAATAGGGGCCCCAAAATTTGATGCGTCAGTGTATCCGTTTTTCTTTCAGACAAAGCCCCATGATGAAATTGAGGTTCTCACTTCATCATGTTAACCTTGGCCAGGTTGAGCCGCTTCATCATCTCTTCTGCTTCTTCCTTTTTTTGGGGCTGGTGGACTACAGCTGGGGGGGGTCCTTGAACTTGGGCAAACCAATGACCAGGACTGCCGAAGACATGGCTTTTTACTGTGCAGCAGCGGAGGGACTGGGCAAAAAGAACCTAGAATAACTTGGATTTAGCGGAATGATCCACCACTTTTCAGGTCAGAGCCCATGATTTTGGAGTCCGAAACCGGCAATCGGATTGGCAACTCGGCAATTTTCTGACACAGGGCCCTGCCATGAAAAGAAGAGAACATCGAATACCGTGCCCAATGTGTTCAAATAGCCAAAAAAGTTCAGCCTTTTTCCAGCTTCAAAATGACCCGACAAACCCAATTGCTATATCAAAATGACGATGGAGACCTGCCGCAAGACCCCAACATCTACCATGGGTACATTTTCGATCAAAAAAATGCTGTGTTTGGGGCCCCAACAAAATTGGCGAAGTCTCCATCTTTTTCAGGGGCCCCCAAGTTGGTGTGGTTCAAAACCCTGAATTTCTTGGGTTTCATCCCAATTGATGTTGGTTTTAGAATGCTAAAATCTCTAGAAATTCTCATGTAGTTCAACATAGCTATATGGAAAATGCATAGATCCCATTTATAGATGATTTAACCATCAAAAACGGTAATTGTTCATAGCTATGTTAGATTACCCCAGATGGAAGGCCCAAAATGGAAACCATCACCGGCTTCACGACCAGCAGTGAGTCGTCCTTCTTCTCATCCGGCACCTTGTCCGGATGAAACCTTGGGCGATGATCGTCCCATTTCTAGGAAGATATGTCAACATGATTTGAAACTACTAAATAAATTGGTCTCTTAAAATTCCATTGGTTTTACTCTTACAAATTCATTGGTCTTCCTTTTATTTTCAAATCCATTTGGTTTCCTCTTACAATCGGTTGGGGATCATCTTATATGGCTATGGAACCCTGGTGCCTTGCTTTCACGCCAAGATACAGTGGCTGTTGTTTATGGCTATTCATTCCCCAAAAAATACATACCTAGGGTATCTTAGGTATTGACTCATTCCCATATCTGCTACTGTAAACATCAAAAAATTCTTGGTGTTCAACGGGCGGGATGTCTTCACATCCCACCATTCAAGTCCCGGGTAACAATCCCTCGGTCGATGATCATGGCTGAATTCCAATAAAATATTTCAACCTGCCATTTATTGGTAATATACTGTTAATATTAATGGTCAATATTAATGGTTAATATTATATAATGGTTAATATTAATGGTTATTATATGGTTAATGATGGTTAATAATAACCTGGTTGGTGGTGCAATGTGCCCATCTTGAAAAATATGAGTTCGTCATTCGGAAGGATGACATCCCACATATGAAATGGAAAATAAAAAGTGCTTGAAACCACCAACCAGCTGTTATCATACGATCATTGGGGAAAAAAACGAATCCTAAGCATCATTCCAGTGACATCACGACCTGAGGTCAGCCTGTGACATCATCGATACTGTCGCATGCCATCTCTGCGACTGAGTCCGCAACTGTAGAGACTTCATTCGCCAGGCTTTGACAATTTCCTGCGGACCAGAGATGTCACGAGCTAGTCCCAGGATGTCCCAGGTACACAACCGGGTAATCCAAGCTGGCAATAGAACATATCCAACATATTCAAAAAAAATGACCAAAAAAATTGAGAAGATGACAGAAGATCTGGAAAAAAACATGAGTTGTGGTGTCTTTTTGTCATCTTAGATCTTCTCCCGCACCTTGGCAGTGGCATCCTCTGCCACACCTCGGAGGGTCGGAGGGATTGGGTCGGGTGTCATGGATTTTTTTTAAAGAGAAACATACAGAAAACATACAGAAAACCCCAATGTTTCTAGCATTGAAAATGGATGTTTAAATGGTTGGTTCTTGTAAATGTTCCATGATGTTCCATGACGTTCCATGATGTTCCATGCTGTTCCATGATGTTCCATGTTTTACCGTCCATTCTGGGAAGAAGGGGCTCCAACAGAATATTCGACACAGTGCCCAATGGCAGCCGAGGATGTATCCAACCTATCCAACCCGTCATCATTTGGGAGCCTGGGAGCACCTGGGAGCCCGGGCCAAGGATGATGTGATCCTTCTCATCCCAGATGGTCTTCTCTTTGGCCTGCGAAAGGCGAACATGGAACATGGCCTCAGGAGGTTTGCAGACTGCTTCAGAAATATCGTGCTTAATAGTGATTAAGAGTGGTTAATCATGGCTAATAATGGTTGATAATGGCTGAGAATCCATTAATTGTATTCTGATGTACATAGCTTGTTGACGGGTTCCTCACACTTCATCTAAACCTCCGTTTGAGTGCAGCGGATGAGTTTGACCTAGATATCTCTGTATGGGAATCCTTTCTTGCACTACAAATCGCTGGTTCTTTGCTATTCCCATGTATGAGGGGATCAATCTTTTCCCGCCATCTTTCTATAGAATAGATATGAAAACAAGCTTACTAAATTATGATGTATATATACCGGTACGTGTACTTACATACATTAATCCCTTCCCAGGTGGTGCGGCCTGTTTCGTCTTGAAGCCTTTCTGCTTACTTTCTTCGAACTGGCGAGGCAGCAAGAAATTCGTCGGAGAGCTGCAAACACAGGGCAACGTTGACACAAGGTACCAAACGCCCTTGGTATATGGCTAGCCATGGCTAGCCTGCATTCAAATGACAAGCTAGAAAAAATTGCTTCGCTGCAGTTCGAAGCCTCTGCCGGAATGGAAAACGGATACTGAAAACCGGGGATCTTCCACCGCATTCAATTAAGTGTGCATAGAAATCCATGTCCAAAGGACTGCAGGTAGAAATGCAGTCTTGGATGGTTTTCGAGCGTTTTGGATATATCAGGACAAATACCCCCAATAATCCCCAATACCGTACCTAGATTTTCCCAGTCTTGGATATGTCTGGATATATCTTGCATATCGAACTTCTACGCACCAAAATTCGCGTAACCCCCAGGGCCTTGGTTCCCCCGAAGACCTTGACCCACGCTACATAGACCTGACCCAATGAGGGGCAGTAGGTTTTCAGTTTCTACCAACAAAAATGGGGGGTCCTGTGGATTTTCCCCTCAAGCTCTATTGAGGGCATGGAACTGAGCATGATATGATATATTTAATCACATAGCAATGGAATCAACCATGGAGGAAATCGCACTATGGTTAATCAAGAATCGGCAACCCAACATTTCTAAACATTTCACCCTTGGTAGCTAGGAAGCCATCGAAAAGCCTCTTCTCTTGGATCATCCCCCACGATCCAAAAGGAGATCGTCCCATATCTAAATGGGCGAAACATGGCGAAATAATATGAAATAATGCTAGCTATGCTATATGATATAACTCATACCCTCTGGTGAACTAACATAGCAATTGAAAATGGCCATAGAAATAGTGGATTTTCCCATTAAAAATTGTGATTTTCCATTGCTATGTTAGTTCACCAGATGGTAACGATGGAGAACTCTGGTTACCAGCCGAACTTCCTTTTCGCGCACCTGTGAAGCTTCCAGGGGCCCAATACGGTGCACCGATTCAGAGCCCCTGCACGAAGGCTTGGGAATCTGGCGACCCTCATCTGGTTTCTCATACCTACCATTGTGGTTAATATACCTGGTTAATAATGGTTAATATTAATGGTTGTTATATGGTTAATGATGGTTAATTATCAGAACTGGTTGGTGGTTGCTGCTAACCCCTCTGAAAAATGATGGACTTCGTCAGTTGGGATGATGAAATTCCCATGGAAAAATAATCCAAATGTATAAAAATGTTCCAGTCAACACCAACCAGAGGGTTATCGATGGTTATTGACTCGACCATTGACTCGTGGAGGAGGGGCACCAGGGGCACCACACTGCAGAGATTGAACCTGACCCAGACCTACACCGTGAGTCGACAAGGACAGAGCTATGGTGGGCTGGGGACCGGCATGCAGATACAGGGGGGACCGGCAGAGAAGAGGGCTGGGGGATGATACGACTGTCTCCATCCTCATCCATGCTCCCCCGATGTGGTCGAGTTCAATCCAACTTTATTGCAAAATCAAGGAAAAAAAACAAATCCCATTCAAAACCCATCAAAAACCCTGTTGGTGTTGAGTTTCACATCCAACCCCCCTCAACCCCTCGCTTTAAAACTGGCCTCACAGGGCCCTTCTGTACCAAGGTGGAGGCGGCAGACACCGCACAGCCGGAGGCATAGACCGTCAGCTCGAAGGTCTCGCCGGAGAGGTTCCTGGGTGGAACCGGGGTTTTCAACGTCGAGGTGAGTCGGGTGGAACCTGGATCAAACATTGGTAAATTAACAGTTTGCTATGCCTGGATTATGGCCCATTGATAGATGGTTTACCTGGAGTTGACCTATGGTTTTTGGAAGCCTGGGTTTTTCAAATATAAGTCCCCCAGAAACAGTAGGTTATCCATGGTTATCCCACGACTTAGACGTCGCCTCTCAAGGACTTTACAGTAATGATCAAACATGGCGAGCCTGAGCATCCCTGGTGGAGATTTATAGCTGGGAAAATCATCTCGAAATGACGTATTTTCCAGCCAAGTTTGATTCAGGGAAAAAAGCAACCCATAAATCTCCCAACTAAATCCTTGTTTCTATGTTATTTCCCCATCAAAAAAGTTTAAGAACTTCATTTGCCCTGCCAGGCATGTTTAGTTTGTTAATGAAAGGGTACAGCGGTGTTGCAACCCATAAATAGGTAGAGGTAGTCACCTGGAAATCTTCTCAGAATCCTCGGTGATTTGATGTAAATCTGAAATGGTGACCTGGACGAGATGTCAAACTTTGAAGGTATTCCATGTGTTAAACACACGAAAAAACTGCACCAAAATATCACACTGACGTTCAGAAAAATACGGACATTAAACCAGTAAACTTTCCGGTACCCGTCATTTTGGGTCTGGCCAATAAGTTTGGGATCTCTGAGCACCACGCCCCAAGTTCAAGACCACTGAGGTATCGTGAGCCTGTGGCAGGAATGGAAATAACATCACAGCATGCCGTTGGCAAAACTGACCCAGTTTTAATCCTATGACGTTAAATACACACCTTTCTGTTGCTGATATGCGGACGTTATATAGTTGCTCATATTTCTAGGTTTGTTGTTTGAATCCGAATTCTAAAGCCTTCATTATCCCCGCCCTATGGGATACGTGTTCTTCGTAAAATCGACCATCAAAAGCTGGTGGCCGGTGACAATTTGCAACACAACTCATCTCGGCGAAGGACAGATCAAGATTACCTCGATACGCAATGATACGCAAGGCTACAGGTGGTCTTCAAAAACCTTCCCCATGACCTTCCCTGACTGGCTCTGGAATGATATCTCGGGATGTGGGTATGTCTCAACGTTGAGGTCCCTAGAAACATTGCGCTTCCGTGTTGAAATAGACTCTTGAGAGGATGATTTGGGAGTGTCCAAGTTTACGTTTGAGTTATCTTGAGGTAGTTACATCAATGTCACATGGAGAAAATAATTCAAGAAAATTGGTCCGATATTGCAGGGCGGCTACTGCTGTGGCTCAATTCGATGTCCTCGTCAGGGGAGAACGCTCCAGGTGTGAAATCAGACCGGCATAAAGTCGGGAGGTAAACACATCTTTATACACATGTGTACACGTACGTGTATATATATATAATTATATAATGATTCAATGATATATAATGATCTATATAATCTATATACACAGGTCAGCTACAACGACTTCTATCCAACCTTCGAAGCCATCCTCAGCCCCGGGACCAGAAACCCACCTCGACCACATCGATGGTGGGCACTAGCAGCTGCTGATCAGTGCGGGCCACCAAGGTGCAACCCTCCAAACAAATCCATGGCTCAAAGCCCGCCGTCTCGCGCTTCGCGCCCGAGGCGTTTTCGCCTGGGGCGGGCTGTTTCACTGGTGTTAGGGAAGAGAGCTCAACGGATCTTGGGGCTGGAAGTAGATGGAAATAGGAAAAGATGGGAACAGATGGTGAAAGCAGCAGTTCAAGGTGAAAGCCCCTGTTTACAGAAGAAGGGAGGGAAAAAAGGCCGTCTGGAGATCTCCATAAGCAGTGAACTGCCTCTCAGTCAGGTCTTTCTTCCACTTGAACCGACCATAGGAGCCACTTGAAAGACTTGGATGGTCTACTCTCCTATGGCTTCATGGAACTCTCCATCCCCCAAATCCACACAATCGTGCCTTCGATTGGGTGCTTTGCCTGGCAGCGAGAAAGTTTGAATGCAGAAAGAAGGGAGAACCATGAATCAAGTAAGCCAACAATCTGGACAGACAAGGACAACTTGGCTCCAGCAAGGTGTGGCCACAATTTAACTGGAATCAGCTTGCAACCACCTCGCATCAGAACCCAACACTGTTCACCTGATAAATGAAACTAAAGCCTTTCTGGAACAGTGAGAGGAAGCCTAGGGATAGTATGGTGGTTGTCAAGAGGTGCGGCATTGTGGCATGGAGTACTGAATTCAGGAAAGATGGTGCATGTATGTGGCTGCGATTTGCCGATAAAATGACAGATATTAATATATATATATATATTGCACACTCAAAGGAGGAAAACTCGCGCTTCAAGCTTTTCGGTACTATCAAGAAATCCACCCAGCGTCGGATCAGATTTCTCCGATCTTCATCCTTCCCCAAAGTAACATGTTGCATTTGAATAAGACTATCATATATTTGCGGCTCAACTACCAAATGGAAACTTGCCTGGATGGGTATGGGCCCACCCCTGTGCCCTGGTTTTGACATCAAACAACCGGTAGCTTTATGGATGTTCATTCCCCCATTCGTTTAGACAATCAGTGAGAATCAGATGTTTTGACTGACCCATCCCCATGATGGTTCTGGGTCAATCCCTTGGTACCCTAGAGAACACTTCAATAGCTGGTAGGATGTTCATCCCAAAACAAGTGGTCCCATAAATCAATGGATTGGTTTAAGGGAACATATACAGAAAAAAAACATATTTAACGGGAAAATCGATGGTTTCCGGTTAAGATTTTTCCCTTAAACCAATCCATTGAATAAATATATTGACCCATCCCATCATCTGCTCCAGCCACATAAACCGCCATGAAAAAACGCTTGCGCGCCTCGAAGTCCTCCGGCCTGGCGGAGAAGACCCAGCTGGGATGCATCAGGATTTACCCACCATCTATGACTGGTTGGTGGTTGACCTACCCCCCTGAAAAATATGAAAGTCAATGGGAAGGATTATCCAATATATTATGGAAAAATAGAAAAATGTTCCAAACCACCAACCAGATGACCATGTTTAATAGGAAACATGATGTTCTCAACCAGTGCCAGTGGATGGATTTCTGTTACGATGTCCAAAGATGTCCAAAGCCCATTCTCAGACGCATCCATCTAATCAGGATGACTTGAGGGTCGTTGAACTTGGAGCCAATCTTCTTCCAGCCACTTTCCAAAGCAATCCCGATGCAGTGAAGCCCAGAAGGCTCAGAATGTTCGGCCACCGGGGTCAACTGTTGCTTCCATCCCCTCGGTGCCTGGACAATCTGAAGGTCGTTTCATGTCGGGAAGGTGCTTGTTTCACCTGCGCTCCCCGGTCGGATATGGCACCGTGGTGGGAACATCTGGCTGATAGCTGGATGAATCTCCTAACGTTTTAACGGAACAGACTCTACCCACTTGGGATACTCTGGACTATCCCAAAGTTCCAGTGTCCAAAAATTGTTTCACTCTACCATTTAAGCGACACTCAAAGAGAGTACACATAGAGTACTCCGCAACACAGAGTAAGAGGATACGCAACACTCACACCCTGGAAGGCAACAAAAACGTCTTCTCTGCATCACGGCCACCATAACATAGCCACCGATGGTACCCTCTGGTTATGTCAAAATAGCTATTGAAAATGGCCATAGAAATAGTGAGTTTTCCCATTAAAAATGGTGATTTTCCATAGTTATGTTAGTTTACCAGAGGGTATCTGTAGCGTACTATCATGGAAGTCTGATCAATTGGTCTCAATTTTCTGGTCTTTGCAAATGTCCATGCTCCCTTTCCAAGTCAAGCAAGGCCATGATGCCATGTGCTGTACATTGCTGTTTTCCTGAGTATACACACTATGGAAACATGTGTTTGCGCAATGAACGTCTATGTACAAACATATGTTATGTGTCTCATCTATGTATTCATACACATGCAACTATAGAGGAATTGAAAGACTGTACATTACATCTACGTGTCGTGTACACATATGCAGACTGTATTATATATACATATAGAGAGAGATAGAGAGTAACCCCTAAAAGATAGAAGTCTAGTTTATCACTATTTGAATAGGATTTTACTGGGTGTTACTTTTCTATAACTAAAATCGTCGAATTCATCATCTAACATCGATCTTTTCTGGGTTTGCCATGTCAACCGTGTCTGTTTTCTCATGGAATGTCTCCATCCCCGGACCTCTCCACGCTTGGACTGGACCTCCTTCCTCTCCAGAGCTGTTTCCACACCATTCACCCGGATGGTCATGGAGCATCCTGGCCAGGTGGAACCGGTGGAGCCTCCAGGAACCCCCAAAGTGGGCCCAAAAAAAAAACTCCGGCGAAAGTGAGAAAAAACGAGACCTTTCCGTTCGAAGTTTTTTTAGCCATTTGGATTTGAACATCAACCCTGTTCGAGCTGTCCTTTACTTTCAAGGTTGACAAGGACAATTTGGGATGTTGGTTGGGATTGTGAAGGACCAGGTTCCCAATGAGTGACTGTCAAGTGGTTGATTCATGACTGATAAATAAATCATGGACAATCATCATGAAATTCGGAGCCGCTGAGCAAAGAATACCTCAGCAAACCCAAATATGTATATATTTATATATAATATTAATAATATTATAGATATAGAGAGATGTAATATTTAATATACTATTTGTGAGATGTGTTCATCCGTGCATCTTCTCCTAAAAGTATCGTAATGTATAGTAGTTGCAGATGTCATCCACAGGGCAACCGGCAACCTGATGGTACACTAGATAATTACTCACTGACTTGACCCGAATCTATGATGTCTTGCAACTTCTTGGTGGACCAAGCCCCGAACACATTGCTTTGAGACTTCCAAAAATGAATGGACCAGGGAATACTTGGTGATTCCCTGAACAAGCTAGAGTTAGAATCGAAAGTCCCTTCAAATACTTGGTCCCTCCCTTACAACTCCTGTAGGGTACCCCCCAAAATCCACCGAGTGGTCATTATCTTGGTCATTATGTAACTAGTTGGAGCACGGCCTTTAGATGGCCGTGGGTTCTTTGTGGTTGACGGGGTGCCATGGATCATGTTTGACGTGCCAATAGGAATTTGTGTGATGTGACTTTTAAGGTCGTTAACCCCTTATTCTGGTGCAGTTTGTGGGGTGGGGTGGTGGGGTGGGGTGGGATGTTAACGTTCATGTTCATGTTACGCTGAAATTGTTCCATGGTTGAAGTAGTTTTTGGGAAGTGAAAAAACAGGTGTGCAAGGCTGCATGCGCAGTTACATTGGAAAGTGCACGCCAACCCCCTTAAAACCACCAGGCGCCTCTCAGCGCCTTTCCCAACTAGTTTCCCCATTGAAATAGCCATTTTGGGGGACTTGGTGATGTTTCCCCATTCCACGCCATTCCGCCTGTGGGGACCAGTCCTTCCAACTTCAGCTGCACCTCTCCTTGGGGCTGGCAGGGTTGGTGCCATTTTAAGCCCAGCAGTGGTCCGTGGTTTCAACATGTTTCAACGGGGTATCCATGGGGTATCCAGAATCACGAGACTGTGGTAACCAGTGCGATCTCCAAGCAACAAAATGATGTTTGGGTCTGAAAATGGGGGAAAAAAAACGGTTCTGACTATTGTTCAATGGGGAAAAGGATGATGATCGGAATTTAGGGCACCTATTCTCAAACAAACAGAAATGGGTATAGAGAGTTCGTACAGTCATATGAGCCATGGTCAATACTCACTATATGGTTGATGGTCATCCCATCCATAATAAGGATCCTTATAATGGTTATTATAAATCCCTATGAACCATTGGATGACTAGCCCCTATTGATGGTTATTAACCATGAGTATTGACCATAGCTCATATCCAAACATGTGTGGTGTTTTTGGGTCTCACATTTTGGCCCATACCATCCCATACCCAACTTGTAGCTGGAGTTTTTTTCTTCCAAAACTACAGATGTAAACTGACCTTGTGGAAAAATGTCCATCATCCGATTTGGTGATCTTCAGGAATATGATTCGTTGAAATACCATGGCAACATGTGATGGTTTCCTTTTTTTGTGGGGGTCAATAAAAGGGAGGAAAAAACACAACTGTCACCCACCATGCCACCAAAAATTTCACTGAACTGCTAGTCTCTGCAAGAGCTGCTGTCAACCAAAATTTGAATTATATATTTGGGTGTGGACAGTGGACAGGAGTCTAGATGAACGGTCTGCCAACCCACCAGCCTGCTTTGCGATTCACCATCTATTCTTGGTAGATTGAATCTGATGTTGACATATTTTGTTTCTAATCCTGATTGTTGTTTCCCCAAATCTCTGATTCTTGTTGGTTAAACTGTTAACCCATCCCAACTTCAGTTGGGTAGATCCGTGAAACCCCCTTTGATCCGCTGCTGAAACACCCATAGCTATTGCTGCTATCTGACGCCCATGCCGCAGCCAAGAAGCGGAGCTTGGACGAGATGGAGCGTTCCACCGGCACGCCTGAGCATGGCCCCGGACTTGGTTCCCAGGAAGAGTGATGAGAACTTCCCTACTATGGATGGCAAAAAGATAATAAAATCCATGGTTTTCTGTGGATTTTCCGATGAATCGAGTGATCTTTGGGCTCTGAGATTTAGCAATATAGGTCAAACAGGAAAGGTTTCCCAATGGACCCTCAAACGGCTGACCATCTTCAGTCTTAGGTCTTAGGCAACCTAATTTTGAAGGGAAAAAGTCTGAGCCATGACCATGTGGGTGTTGTGGCTCCAACTTGAACTACCAAAATGGGGAGGTTCAACTAAACAAATGGGAATAGAAGCAGCAAAACTAAAATTCAGCCAATAATTCAATGGGTCTGGATCAGACTGGCCTGAGGACCGTGGTCGTGTTCTTGGCTAACCATGTTTGGAGCAGGTCAGGCACACAAGCAAATCAAGATCCCCGCCTTCCTCAAGGAGCTGAGGTGGAAAGTGCACGACCCAATTTGCCTGGGAATTGAGTTGACCCATTTTTCCTGTCAAAGCCTCCTTGGTCCAAACCCCAGACCCTGCATCACGCGCCTTTAGCGCAGGGGGAGCCTCCGCTTTGGGTGCCTGGCAAGAAGCCCGTCCAGGTCTACTTCCAAGAATGGTATTTAAATGTACTTTAAAAAAAAAACAAAGCATGGGTGTTCGGTGTTCCAAACAAGTAGAAGCCAAGGTGTAATTCAACTAAGAACCTCTAAAACATCTTAAAATCATAAGAAAAGACCAGTTCCAGTGCTATGGGTGGTGTAAGGTCGCCAGTGCTTCACAAGGATCAAGGCGCTTCCCGTGCCTTGATGTGGCGGTCGTTTCGCTGTTTCGCGGCATGCTTCAACTCTGAGCGCATGCTGACGAGCCAATATCGTATCTGGCCTGGAAACGCAACGCATCTGCCCTTTGAAGTCAGACTCTCGTTTGGATGTTTCCTAAAATGGAGGTACCCCCAAGTGGATGGAAAATAATGGAAAATCCATCTATAAATGGATGATATCTGGGGGTACCCCCATTTCAGGAAACCTCCATTTGGATGTTTCCGTACCAATGTTGGGTGATTTGGGGTCGTAGGAAACCACCCATTTTTTGGGACGATCTTACTACTGAGTACTACTGGACACATTCCAGAGATATGCAGAAATGGTTTGCAGCAAATTCCAAGTTATGAGAAATGTCTCCGCAAGATCCTTAGCTCGGCACTTTGTTTCAGGACAGACCGCAGGCTCTGCAGTGGATTCGTTAACCTGAAAGCCAACAGCTCATGATGGCCATGGCAAACCCCAGAAAATTCAGTGTGTCAATGGCGCATCCCCAGGATCATCATCATGTTTCTATCTTTTGAACCATTTCTGTAGGTGGTATCTCCCAATATTTCCCATTTTCAGTCAACTCATTTCAATTCATTTCTGTCATCCGAAAAATCAACAGGAACATCCATTGAAATCCAGCGAACGGGATATCATCTATAAACGGCGGGTTGTCCACAGGATATGGGGATTGGTCAAGAAACAAGTGCCACAACCAGGTTTGACCCATCGCCAAAAGACTACCGGGTATGGGTCACTGGTGCTTCGTTGGTGCTAAACGTTGGGAATGGGGGAATCCAATCCATACTAACAATCATCCAATTCTGAAGTTCCCTACTAGCAGTAAGTTGGGAGACCACATATCTAGGGCCATGGCTGCAAGGACTTCCACACATCGTCCCTCTGCGCCTTCCACTTTTCAATGTCCTTGAGGCACGATCGCCACCCGATGACCGGTGTCAACGCCATGACGATCGAGTCCAAGAGGTCATCTCTAAGTCCATACATATTCGATGCATGTGCATATAGTGTGTGTGTGTGTGTCACCTCCTGTGCTCTAAGGACTTTGCAAACGCCAATTTCCTTCGTTTCCGTTATTCCGGTTGGCGTTTCCAACTACCATCCAGCATGCTATTAACAGACAGTAGAATTGACGACGGCAATCAGAAAAGAAGACGGCGAAGGTATCAAAGAGAATGATGTTCTCAGAGAAACATGTTTTGCCCATGACGGTTTGCATTTCAGCGCCGCGCATTTCCAAGAAATTGGATCAGTTTTCAATAATATCTCCGCATTCAGCATGTATACATGTAATCTAGATCATGAGGTGGTGAAGTAAGGAAGAGGATGAGCGCGAAGAAGCGTACGATTTTGCGCGTTGGGTTTCCCGCGGAGAAGTCCGAAAGATGACGACTTCAGAGATACTTCCGGTGTTCCAACGCAGCGGTTTAGTAAGTATGCTCTCAATTTTCGAGCATGCAGCGGGTGCCAGGGATCATTGCAAGTCTGGCACTAACAAAGACGCTTGCTTTGATCTGTGACATCAGAAAGGGACGCCTTTCTGACGTACCTGCTCATTTGAAACTGTTAATCAAGCTGTTGCAGCCAGGCTGTTTAGGTAAATCAGGTCAGCAGCACTTTTTCGTGTCCCTGACATCGAAAGCGACTTAGGAATACAGGTCAGCACATGCAGTGTGTACTTCCGGGTGTTGGACCTTACTTGGTCTCATCGCAATCTTTTTCATGAAGTGCAGTAACGTTTTTTCAAGGAAGTAAGTATCAAGCAGAAGAACAAGCAAACAAAGGAACCGCTGAAGCCTGTCATTCTTACAGCTCAATTTGCGACCCTCATCCTTCATCTGAAGGCGACTGGGATACCAGTGTGTGACTTTCAACATATATTCTGTTATATTACCTTACACTACATCATATCATATTGTATCATATCATATCATTTCATATCATATGAAAACCGTCTTATATCATGTATTTTAGTTTACATCTATTTAGATCTATTTATTATGTATGTATATATCTATATGGCAGTGTGTCAAAACCGTGTACCCCTGTAGTTCACATCAAAATAGCTGGGATTTATGGATGTTCATCCCACTAAAAATGGTATTTTCATAGGTATTGATCCATTCCCATATAACATATACCATCTGGTTATTTAACATAGCCATGGAAAATCCCTTATAAATGGAGGTTTTAATGGGTAAATCAACTATAAATGGCAATTTTCCATGGCTATGTTAAATAACTAGAGGGTAACATATACATACACCATAGTATCAGTATCTATGTCCACATATCATACAGCTGCGAAGCGCCGCCAAGGGACTTGCCCCGTCCAGCTTTCCCAGAAGTTGGCTGGTCTCAGCTGCTCCTGCCACCGACATTTCTATATCCACACAACATGGTCTGTATATGTCTTTATATAGCTCATCTATCATCATATCATGGAAATTCATGGAATCATGTATCTGTATCTAGATACTTCTATTTGTATATCTATATGTGATTTTTATACGGTATAATATATAATTATAAGTTTTTGTACCATCTGGTTTTGGAAGGTTCTGGTTCTTTTTTATATGCCCAGCAAGGGGTCGACTTCAATGGTGGTTGCAGCCGTTCCGGTGGCTCCTGGTAGCCGCCTTTGCCCTTTCCATCCACAAGGGGTGGCAGAAAATCCTTGCCATCTTTGCCCTTGCCTTTCTTCCCTTTGTCTTTGCCTGCGGTAAAAACTGGAGAGCTTGGAAGGACTGGTCGAGTCAGACCTGACTGGTCTGGTGCGAAAAATCCCTAAAAATCCCCAATTGACTGGCCACCCATATCACGGCCACGGTCAGGCAATACAGCAGATTCGGACCATGTGGGTCCTGCTGTTACATATCGTGAAGAACGAGATGCACTAGTTTTGGATGCACACATGAGTGGATGTCCTCCCACTTGTTTCCAGTGCAATGTTTGGCAATTCTGTTGGATTTCAATGCTGGATTCTTGTATCAACTGCCATACCTCCTGCTACCTCGAATTGCTCTTCAGCCATCTTCCATGGCAACAGAAGTAGATCTTTTCCCAAAGAGAATCCGAGGCCTTTTTCTCGGCCATCTTTTCCTTTCTCTTTGCCCTTGCCTTTCCTCTTTCCTTTCCAGTCGTTGAAGCCCCAGTCGTTGAAGCCCCAGCCGCAAAAGGCGCCAGAATCTTCACCTCCTGGGTTCATGGATTGAACATCCAACATGAGCCATTTAAGCAAGTTCTGACCATGGCACCTATGTTACTCCTGAAATGAGATAAATGAGGACCGTCAGAGCTCTTGGGAAAATCACATCATCTGACAAAGAATGGCACTCCAAAAATTGCAAAAGAAGCAAGTCTTCGGTGCAAGCCCACCCATCCTTCGGTGTAGGCCCGGCCACCCTGGCTAAGACCTTAAAATGTCGTGGCACCATCTTGATTAAATGGGTTATGTTTTCCAATGACCCAAACAAATGAGGCACCTTTCCTCTTAACACATCTTGCTTTGCTGGATGGTGTATGATGAGAATTCATGAGAATTCATGATATGCGATGAAAAATATAATTACAAGAAATTACAAGAATATTGCGCCTCCTCCCACCTCACATTGTCTCTCACCCGTGGTGGGCCATTTGGCCCCTTGCCCTCCCCGTCCTGTAAAGGCACCTGGGTGGAAAGGCGGTGGCCCGCAGGGTGGCCCGCAGGGTGGCCCGCAGGGTCCACAGCAGCCACAGCCGCCTGAGCAACTGCTGCTGCAACTCCCATGGCCCCAAAGATCCATGGGGCCACCGAAAGGATCACCAGGAAAGGGGCCACCAGTCCTCAGCCGGATAGCTGGGCTGGAATGCGGGAAAAGCATGAAAAGCAAGGATGTTGATGATTGTGCGTGGCTGTTGAGGCTAGTGTTTGATTCAGAGACTGGGAAAAAAAGATACACGGAAAGATGCAGAATAGAAACCCTTGAGGTGTCAACTATGTCTATGTCTCACCTTCAAAGCTCGGTCACAACTCGAGATAAAGCTGCAGAGCATTGGGAAAACAATAGCTTAACTAATGAATCAACGTGCGAAGTGCCGAGTATCATAAAATCTGCTTGTTCGTTGCAGCCCATAGGTCGATAGGGTCCGGGGCCACCTTGGCTGCCTTGGCTGCCTTGGCTGCCTTGGCCAAAACATCCCATCTGTCCGGGTCCATGTGGCCCTGGCAGCCCACAGCCTTGGCCTGGCCCTTGACAGCCTTGATAGCCGGGACTTAGAGGTGGTCCTCCACAACAGCCAGGACCATAGCCGGGACCACACCCGCAGCCACCACAGCCACCACAGCCACCACAGCCGCCATAGCCGCCACACATCCCCATAGGCACGCCCGGCATCCCTTTCCCACCATTGCATGGGCCGTTGCCTGGGCCATTGCATGGGCCGTTGCATGGGCCGTTGCATGGGCCGTTGCATGGGCCGTTGCATGGGCCGTTGCATGGGCCGTTGCACGGGCCGTTGCATGGGCCGTTGCACGGGCCGTTGCATGGGCCGTTGCATGGGCCGTTGCATCCACCATGAGGGCCAAAGTTGGGGCCACAGCCCGGTCCGCAGCTGGGGCCACAGTTGGGGCCGTAGCCGCAGTTGAAGGGAGGCCCTCTTGGTCCACACCCACAAGGTCCACCACAACCACAAGGACCAGGCCCACAAGGTCCACAACCACATGGAGGTCCACCACACTGCGGAGTATGGGTTCCACAGCCACCATGAGGACCATGGGGTCCAGGAGAATGTGGAGGTGGTCCTGGTGTGCTTGGTCGTTGAGGGCCACACTCCCAACTATCGCAGGGTGACCGACATGGACTTCCTCGGGTAAAGATGTCGTCGATCAGGTGAAAGCTATTTCGACCTCCAAGCTGGCAAGAGCAGGAGCAATTGCAATGTTTGGCCCATGGGGCTTAGGCTCTCAATATGAGATGCGTTCGGTATATAAAATCCCCTGCAACGAGCAGCAGGTCCTTGAAATAGGGGATCAAAAAAACATGAATCCAGTTTCATGTTCAATTCTATTTCGGAGACTCTCAGAAATGCCAAGGGCTTCCAGTAGCTTCCCACTTCCCGCAGGTACCTTTGCCATTGAAGGGTTCCTGTCAGCCAAAGCAGAGAAGTGTCCAACAGAGAACCAACCACCAAAAAAAAAGATCAACAGAATTTCAAACCATGATATGGCCAGCAAAGAGTATGATGTGATCAAAGCTCAAAATAATACTCACACCCATTGGGGTCCCCACACCAAGGGTTACCAATGGGTATTTGCTAATATGCCACGGCCAAGTTCAAAGAAGCCATTGCGGCAACTCGGCATTTTTTGACTCCAGCTGCACCCGGCCATTCCAGGCCTGGTGATCGGGCATTCCAAAGTTTCCAAAGCCGCCTGCAACAGCAACAGAGTCCTCGAGTCCTCTTCTCTGAGGCTGCGAGGGCTTTGGATTGATGATTGATGGTTGATGATGATTGATGGTTGATGATGACTGATGATGGTTGATGATGATTGATGATGATTGATGATTGATGGTTGATGATGGTTGATGATGATTGATGATTGCTGTGGAAGTTTCACAAAATGAACCCCAAAACTTGGTCGAATGTGGTGAAATGGCTGGCGCAAAACCCTTGGCACCTGGTGCCTCGTGAGGGCTAAAGGCCTCAGCCGTTTCTTCAAAACGTCTTGGAATTTTGGAAGCGCTTTTGGTCATAGGTTACCTAAGGTTTGAGTCAAATCTTGGCGGGGCATGGCATGGCTACTATGAAGCTCTCATCGCTAGACCATTCGACCCATCCTGTTGAGGAGCCTTCGAGGTGCAACCACTCGTCAAGCTAACCGTTCGGGACCCCAACAGAACCTGAAGTCTGACCACATGTCACCGCTGGGGCCTTTCCAACTTCCGAGCATTTTTGCCATGACCCTTGTGGCCCACAAGATCTCCGCCAGTTTCCGGCGGCCGTCAGGCAAGCAGAGTCGAACTTTGGACGACCCTTGGAGTGTAACAGGGATTCCAGGTGGCAAATGCATGAGCCACTGCTCATTTGGATTATGGGCACAAAAATCATGGAAAATCCATGATTCTTGTTCCGTCAGGGCTGAATATGTTGAATCTGCTATGATCTGCAGCCTCAATAGGGCTTTCAGTGTTGTTCGAGTGATGCCATCTTTTCCTGGGACTCTTGAACCATTCGCTGCCCTCAGCCCCAGTTTTTTCAAGGTGGTTCCTGAAGCCAACAATTCGACGGGAATCTGAAGCCCCATGGCGAATCCCAGTTTGAAACGGTCCAGCAGAGCTCCACCCAACATGTTTTGGCAGAGTGGGAACGTCCAAGGACCCATCCTGAAAATCAGCCCTCAAAAATGAACCAATCGCATTCTAAGGCAGCATTTCTGGGGGTGTTGATTCTTAAGGTAAAGGATTAGATGATTAGACTGTCTCAAAACCACTTGTTTAACAGCCGTTTTCTGGACATTCTGATCTTGGTGGTTGAGTGTCTCAGACATTAGGACTCTTCCACCATCTCTCGGTCTTCCTGCACTTCAGAGCTCGTGTCATCAGTTTCGCAGTGGGGCGGGCATTCCATCTTCTGACCATGTCGAATAACAAAAACAGATACAGTATCCAATCCACATTTGCAGCAGCGAACACATGTGTGGCTGTGTATCAACGAAATTGAGACGTCCTCGAACATAGGGCAGGTCTATGAATGCAGCATCTCTTTATCAGGACCTGGTCAGGACCACCGCTTCAACGGCTGTAGGCTTTGTGCATTCAGAGGTTGCAAGAGGCGATACCCACAGCACCCTAAGAAACAAACTGGCTGGGGATTGCTGGGGATTGCTGGCCCTTCTGACAAATATCAAATTAATCCATTTGGATCATCATCCGAGTAGGTAGAGAAAAATACACATGGTAAAACTCCAAGTGTTGGGACAAGCCAAACCTAAAGCCAAAAGCCTAAGGCCTAAATATGTGCAATGAATGCTGGTTCCAAATGCAGGTGTGGGTCAGCTTGGGTACATCTCCATTGCTGGATAAACCTCCATCTTTGCTTATCACTTTCTCGAGGAGACCACGGGGGTTTTCCACGGTTTTCTACGGATCTAAATATGAAAATGTTAAATGCAACTAGATGCAAATAGGCTACCCTGAGAGTTCATATCATCAATTTCCTCATTCAAATGCCCTTTTTTTGGGTCCCATTTTAAGGCATACATAGGCATACCCATATTAGTCCCGGAAGGATTCCACCAGTGCCTTCAGGAACTTTTTGTCTCGAAGCCATCAGGACCTCAAGTGGGTGTTCTAGTTCTGGATGCGTCCTACCGTATGCTAATCCCCGTAATATGAACAACAACTCCTAAATTCTCCCAAAGTGCAAATCCTACTACCCTCTGGTGAACTAACATAGCAATGGAAAGATCCACCATTTTTAATGGGAAAATCCACTATTTCTATGGCCATTTTCCATTGCTATGTTAGTTCACCAGAGGGTAAACCATGGTTTCGGGGAGATGTTCAATATTAGGGAGAAGGGATGATCGGATGATCATTGATTTTCACGGAATCCACCGAGAAAACTGTCTGGTGAGTGTCCATTTTAAAGCACTATTGATGGGGAAAATGATGCGCGACTTGGGTCAGGCGCTTATCCACCTGTCTCCAAAATTTGAGAACGCCTCACCAGCAGTGGAACTTCTGTGAAAATTGTCCATCCGTCTAGAAATTATGTAGGATTCAGGTATCCTAGATTTAGATGGTGCTGAATTTTGAGGCCGTCTGAAAATGGCTGGCTTCCAAAAAAGGCACCACCAGCCGCGCATAAAGCTCAGCAAAGCCATCATCTGATATCAAGTGAAGCAAAAGACGTGCCTATCATATCGTTTGATGGGCCTTTCAAGAACGAAACCAACTTCAATTCCATCAACAGTTCCACCAATTCCACCCTCATGTCGCCAAAAAAACCCATCCATCCTGAAACTTGGGGGCCCCCTGCATTGAGTATCAGATTTGGTGGTGGCAAATGGCATGGCCACCTCAGTTGCCAAAGGTCGGGTGGCTTTTTCGAAGCCTAAGCTGCGATCCTGATCTGTGGAAAAACCCCTGGCGGTTTTTTGACATCAAACACTCTGAACATCCTTGAAGATACAGTGAACACATAGAAGCCTCAACTGGGTCTGGCGGCACAGGCCATCTTGGTGGCGCTTGACTCATGATCCATCACGGTTTGCCCAAAAATGAATCGAACTGGTTCAACACGATTTCCTCTCAGTCTCAAACTTGATCAGTAGTTCTACTATAAGCCACAACCCCAGTAAGCTCTGGGGTTATTGGTGACATGTTGCCGGGAAGACCCCTGTAAGCAGATTAAGGACAAATTTCCTCCCAAAAAAATGGATCTGCTTAACTTTTTAGAAACAAAGAGACCATAGATTGGTGTCAATTCCTCATTGTAAGACCATCTCACCGCCATCCAACGGCTAACCCAAGCTACCTAGCTTTTTGAACCAATTTATCTGAGCAAGATTCAAAAACCCATTCCGAGTCATTCCGAGTCATTCCGAGTCATTCTACATCATGATAATCCCCAAAAAAAGAATTGGGAGTATACCGTACAGTATACCCTTTTTCCCGAATGCGTAGCAAGGGTTCCCGTTTCACTCTGGGGGTCTGGGGGCTGAGGGTGTGTTCGCTCGACGTTGCGTTTGTGGTCGCAACCGTTCGCAACCGTCCGCAACCGTTCGCAACCGTTCGCAACCGTTCGCAACCGTTCGCAACCGTCCGCGCGATCCCCGTATGGCCGTGCCTATGGGAAGTTCTGCAGGAGGGGTCCTTTTTGGAGGTTTCAGACGTGTCGTTGCTTCGTTTCGCGTGGCAGGCGTGGCACTTTGTGACATTCAGACGTGTTTTGCAACGTGTTGAAAATCGTTTTGCGTGGCAGGCGCAATACTTTTGTGACGTTTTTAGAAGATGTGTTGTAGTTTTCGTGGCAGGCGCAGCACTTTGGACGTGTCCATCGTCATTTTTCGTGGCAGGCGCAGCACTTTAGACGTGTCCTGTTGCGTGTTTTTTGTAAATCGCATTGGCAGGGCTGCGTCAAGTGGTGACAAGGTGCAAATTCCGTGGCAGGCGTGGCATTTTGTGCGATGTGCTGAAAATTGACGGAAGCCTCGCACGAAACATCGATTTTGATGTTGCCAATTTTCGGGTTCTAAGGAAAACTCGTAGGAAAACGTCGATTTTGAAGCTGCAAAGTGTGAAAATTTGAGGAAGTCTCGCACGAAATGCTTGTTTTGGTGCTCCCACCTGTCTCTTCTCGCGTGTCTGGTTTTCCCGTGGCCTCGCCGTGTCTATGGGGGAAGCTGCAAAACTTGTCCTTTTGTCATGTTGCCAACTGTGAAAATTGCCGGAAGTCTCGCACAAAATGCTGGTTTTTCTGCATCCACGTGTCTTGTCTCGAGTCGCTGGTTTTCCTGTGGCATCGCCGTGTCTATGGGGGAAGCTGGAAAACCTATCCTTTTCGAATGTTTCCAAGCAGGTTGTCATGTCGTTTTGCGTGGCAGGCGTGGCACTTTGTGACATTCCAAACTTGTTTGATAATGTGTTGGAATGTGAAAATTGGAGGAAGTCTTGTACGAAATGCTGGTTTTTCTGCATCCACATGTCTCGTCTCGAGTCGCTGGTTTTCCTGTGGCGTCGCCGTGTCTATGGGGGAAGCTGGAAAACCTGTCCTTTTCGAATGTGTCAAGCAGGTTGTCATGTCGTTTTGCGTGGCAGGCGTGGCACTTTGTGACATTCCAAGCTGTTTGATAAATGCTTGTTTTTCTGCATCCATGCGTCTCGTCTCGAGTCTCTGGTTTTTCCTGTGGCGTCGTCGTGTCTATGGGGGAAGCCGCAAAATCTCTCCTTTTCGAAAGTTTCCAAGCAGGTTGTCATGTCGTTTTGCGTGGCAGGCGTGGCACTTTGTGACATTCCAAGCTGTTTGATAACGTGTGGAAAATATCAAAATGGGAGGAAGTCTCGCACAAAATGCTTGTTTTTCTGCATCCATGCGTCTCGTCTCGAGTCTCTGGTTTTTCCTGTGGCGTCGTCGTGTCTATGGGGGAAGCCGCAAAATCTCTCCTTTTCGAAAGTTTCCAAGCAGGTTGTCATGTCGTTTTGCGTGGCAGGCGTGGCACTTTGTGACATTCCAAACTTGTTTGATAATGTGTTGGAATGTGAAAATTGGAGGAAGTCTTGTACGAAATGCTGGTTTTTCTGCATCCACATGTCTCGTCTCGAGTCGCTGGTTTTCCTGTGGCGTCGCCGTGTCTATGGGGGAAGCTGGAAAACCTGTCCTTTTCGAATGTGTCAAGCAGGTTGTCATGTCGTTTTGCGTGGCAGGCGTGGCACTTTGTGACATTCCAAGCTGTTTGATAACGTGTGAAAACATCAAAATTGGAGGAAGTCTCGCACGAAATGCTTGTTTTTCTGCATCCATGCGTCTCGTCTCGAGTCTCTGGTTTTTCCCGTGGCGTCGTCGTGTCTATGGGGGAAGCGGCAAAATCTCTCCTTTTGGAAAGTTTCCAAGCAGGTTGTCATGTCGTTTTGCGTGGCAGGCGTGGCACTTTGTGACATTCCAAGCTGTTTGATAACGTGTGGAAAATATCAAAATGGGAGGAAGTCTCGCACAAAATGCTTGTTTTTCTGCATCCATGCGTCTCGTCTCGAGTCTCTGGTTTTTCCTGTGGCGTCGTCGTGTCTATGGGGGAAGCCGCAAAATCTCTCCTTTTCGAAAGTTTCCAAGCAGGTTGTCATGTCGTTTTGCGTGGCAGGCGTGGCACTTTCCTCACTCCACACTCGACACTTTACACTCCTCACTTTACACTCCACACTCCACACTCTACACACCACACTCTACACTTTCCACTCCAGACTCCACACTCTACACTTTACGCTCCACACTCCACACTTTACACTCCTCACTCCACACTCCACACTTTACACTCCACACCACACACTTTACACTCCTCACTCCACACTTTACACTGCACACTTCACACTCCACACTTTCCACTCAACACTCCACACTCCACACTTTACACTCCACACTTTACACTCCTCACTCCACGCTTTACACTCCACACTTTACACTCCACACTCTACACTTTACACTCCACACTTTACCCTCCACACTCCACACTCTACACTTTACCCTCCACACTCCACACTCTACACTTTACACTCTACACTATACACTCCACACTTTACACTTTACACTCCACACTCCACACTCTACACTTTACATTCCACACTCCTCACTCCACACTTTACACTCCTCACTTTACACTCCACACTCCACACTCCACACTTTACACTCCACACTCCTTACTTCACACTCCACACTCCACACTCTACACTCCACACTCCTTACTTCACACTCCACACTCCACACTCTACACTCCACACTCCTTACTTCACACTCCACACTCCACACTCTACACTTTCCACTCCACACTGCAGACTGGTAACAAGGGAAACATGTACAAGACTGTTCAAATAAACTATTGCAGAAAGGTATTGTGCGTCACTGCATAACCATGTGTTTTGACATCTGTACCATTAACATACGTGTGAGCATTCGGGTTCGTGGGCTGCATCTTGTTTTATGTGGGCAACCCAATGCCAAACAACTACCAGTACCACCCATAAACATGGTGGTTTTAGGGACCCGACCAAGCCCTGCCGCTCAGCACCGCGTCTTCGACGCTCACCGTCCTGCGTTTTTGAACATGTTAATGGGAGATAGTCTCACCGACAAAGATTCAAGCTATTCATTGTCTATGTGTATGTATATATATATAGTATACACACAGTTATTTATATATAGAGAGAGAGAGATATCAGTGATACAGAATAATATAGTTGTGTATGTATATGTATTTATATATATATGCTTATACATATATGGTTATATATATACATGGTTATATACATTGTGTATGAAGGGAGAACCATCAAGGCTGTATGTATATGTATAGATGTATGTGTCTATGTACATTGACGTTCCTGGAACACTGTTACCACCTTCAGTTCGAAGGACACGTGGTTCCAGATTCCAGATAAATGTATCAGCAAACATTGGAAATATCCAAAATGGATATGGAGATACAAGTGGTTCAGCCAACAACATATGGGTGTACAACCAACCCAGAAACAGTGCTATCACAACCAACATACACACAACAAAAAACGACACGCACTATCGGATGATACGTGCTGGTCTATCAACATTTGGGAGAGTGTCTGATACACGCAGTATACGAAACCAATGAGTGGCTGGACACCAAAGTGGTGTCCAAGATGTCTTGAAATTGCTGGCTCCGGTCATTGCCTTCCCCGGATGCTCTGATTTGGATTTCCCCAGAAAAGTCCTTTCTACGATATGCAACCAGTAGGGATCACACAATGAATCAATAACGAAGTGTATCTGGGTCTAAAAATGGGGGATACTGGATACCCATAAATGGCCACTTGAATACGGAATGTGATGATAATGAATGGAGTTTGGGGTACCCTATTTTCAGACAAACCCATGTGAATTTATGCCTGTCGTAGTGGAATCATACTGGTATGTCCCCAAAATAATAACTTCCAATCAGGGGTTGGTAACTGTCCCATTTTGGGTATATTGGACATCACCTTATAGTGGCCATTATAGACCATATACCTAATGGTTGGGTGATGTTCAATGGGGACATTTAATGACCCATGTCCAATTTCCCAAGTAATCATTCCCCACCATTCCCATGTCCATGTGCTCCTCACTCATCCACTCAAATTCCCAGCCGTGTCGCATACACAGAGCCCTGGCAGCAAAAAAAAACTGCCACACCCCAGCTGCAGTTCCACTACCCTATGGTAATCTAATAGCTTAAATCATCTACCAAACTGTTACATAACTATGGAAAATAACCATTAATGGGTAAATCCACTATAAATGGCCATTTTCAATAGCTTTTTGTATGTTTACCAGAGGGTAAATCATCTACCAATTGAGCGGCGTTTGTCAGATTTCAGAGGCCCATGCCTGTGATCAAAAAATGCCGCGGTTCCCGGTGCCTCAATCGTTCCTCGTCCCACCCTTCTCGGCTCACCAAGGGATTCGCATCGGCAACACCTACAACGAGGGACCGGTGTTGCAGAAGCTGCTAAAAGCTTCGGTCAAAGTGGATTGGTGTTGACTTGAATGACAGAAATGTGGGTTAAAGATTTTTTTTTTTTAATGATTAAACATGTAGGAACCTAAAACTGAGATGATTCAACGACCTAGAAATACGAAGTCTATGAAATACATGAAGCCATGAAATAAGAGTGAACATGTGTATAGCAATATCATCTGATGATCATCTACAAACAATGCAGAACCCTTCTGTTGGTTGCATGCTTATAGTCGCAATTGGACTCCTTTTGGGACCCTGCCTTCTGAACGAAGAAAAATACCCTGGTTTTAAAGCTTGGTATGGGTTTGCCTGCAGGGGTGCCCGCAAATTGGATGGTTTATCAGACTGGTCCCCAAAAATTGCATTTCGTGGTACTCCCAACTCCTGGACAAAGTCCTATAGGAACCAGAAAAATCGGGGTATATTGGGGTGCTTCTCGAGATCACCCGTGGCTGGGAGGTGGTCCATCATTGCCAGAGTCAGGCTAGAAGGGAACAAATATGACCAAAGGGGCACAATACGACATCAGTGCAAGACTACGCTCCAATCAACATCCATGTGTTTTCTCAAAAAACACCTAACAGGTCTCCAAGAATCGATTCCAAAAAAGATCAAAAGCACTCAAAAACTCGGAGAAATACCACAATGTGAGGCCCCCGTTTACGATAGCTAAGTTGGGGTTCACATAACTCCAATTTCACTATGCTTTATGGTACGCAAATAACTATAGTATACTATAGTTACTGGGGCTTATATGGGTATGGATCAATACCTATTAATACCATTTTTAGTGGGATGAACATCCATAAATCCCAGCTATTTTGATGTGAACTACAGGGGTACCAGGCTTTTGACACACTGCCATATATAAACCAACTAATTAACATCACAACGGTTACGGGGCCACCAACCGCACATCTCCACATCTCACATGACCTGAGCCCAGCGTGAGCCCGCCGAGCCCAGCGCGCCTTCCGCATGGTTCAAGATCTCGGAGGCCCCTGCCATGACTTCGTCCCAAGGCTCCACCTTCGCCAAGACGCTCCTCGGGGATCCAATGACAAGGAAAAATAAGAAGAAATGGCCACTGCTTAGATCATTTAGATATGTGAAAAATGGGGAAAACCATGATAAACCCTGAGAAACCCGGTTGAAAATGATGATAAACCCTGAGAAACCCGGTTGAAAATGATGATAAACCCGGTTGAAACCCGGTTGAAAATGATGATAAACCCTGAGAAACCCGGTTGAAAACCATGATAAACCCGGTTGAAACCCGGTTGAAAACCATGATAAACCCTGAGAAACCCGGTTGAAAATGATGATAAACCCTGAGAAACCCGGTTGAAAATGATGATAAACCCTGAGAAACTCGGTTGAAAATGATGAAAAAGAACATTGGATTGTGGCGAAAAATTCTGGGAGCATGATGATACGAGTACAACACTATGAACGATAAATAATAAACCATTGTTTTTTGGTGGAAAACATGGGACCATGATAAAACCCGATACATCAATTTAATGTGTTGAGGAGAATCCCCACCCAGGATCTAATCTAACCTTAGAGACAGTGCCCTGCAAAGGATTTGTATGTTGGTATGTAATATATATATATAATTATTGGATTCCCCCATGAAGAAAAATAAGAATATTGAACTAGCCATCTGAATTTGACCGCTTTTTTGATGCAAAACCAATGGGGAAAATGATGATAAACCATCACAGCCCATGAAAATACCAGGGTTATCCCCAATCCCACCTAGTCACCATCAAGATCAAGAGATGTTCGTTCAATATTCCAATGTCGGAAAAATTTCGCAACCTATTGATCAATGCTGCTGACTGTTGGTAGCGGGCTAAAACACAAGGAATTACCTCGTTGGGTCCACAACATTTTGGGATGGATTGAAGCTTTTGTTCCAGGTTGTCCAAGCCGTTTCCAACCATAGATAGAGTCTTCACAATGTTCATGACGAAGCAATCTTTGGCTGGCAAAGTTTTCGTTCAATCAGCGAGCACTCAGCCAATCCTTGCCAGCAAGAAATTAATCTCTCGCTGCACTCTACAGCTCCATCTGGTAGTGTCTCTGGCTGGCGCAGTTCTGAGTTTTCTCCTTTTATGACTCTGCGCAGGAGTGCAAACTCTTGGACAGAATCATAAAGGGTAGAGATCTTATAGACCCGACGTTCTGCAAAAATCTCCACTGGAAGCCCTTCCGCATCCTTGCTTGGATGTCCCGACAGTTTGCCACAGGTAATGTTCACCAAACTTGTGAAACATTGGACACCATAGACGGATAGCCCTGGTTGAGCACAGGTTAAACAGTTAAACCTTGGATTGCTACGGGATGAGGATCTTATCCGCCCTCTACCAACCACAACATAGGGATCATAGGGCGGGAGTGACAGATGCCTCTTATGGGGGATGGATCTCAAAGTGGCTTGGCCGCAGCCTGATTTCACCGTTGTCTCACCATCATGAAGGCTGGAATGTCTTCGGAAACGCATTGGAAAAATCACTGGGAAACGGCCATTGTACAGTGGAACATCAACCGCAAGTCCAAAATCCGATACCTAGTGAAAATAAAAGGCCTAAATTAAATGGAATGAAATGAACGTTTTTTGACCCAGACACGTCTTGTTGCCATCCTCATCTTCCTGAGGCAAGTGGAAGGAACCCATGGAAGCCAAGCGACACAGACTGCTTCAATAACTCTAATGGGGAATCGTCATCCCAGACAAAAACAAGTTAAAATATGATGTCTTTAATGCATATATATATATGTACATACATACATGCATATATGCATTTATATATATATATATGTGGTAATATATATATATATAAGTATACATGTGTATATATATATATACAAGAATAATCATATATATATATATGGGGTTGCGTCAAAATTCGGGTATGGATCGGCCCGCGGTGATCCAGACGTATGGAACGGTCTGGATCACCTGCGTTTTGGTATGGATCGGGGGTATGGATCGGCCTGTGGGTTCAGGGTATGGATCGGGGCTTTACATTTTGACTCGCAGCCATATATATATATACATTAATGTATAATGTAGTGTCAGCATTTTAAGCCAACCAGCCGTAGCACACCAGCCTGGAGCTACTGGCCAAAATTGGAGTCCTTTTGGGTCATCGGCGACAACATAAAGTCACCGAGTCATACGCATAGCTAATCTTACCCTGCAGATATATGGCAGTGTGTCAAAACCTTGTACCCCTGGTGAACATCAAAATAGCTGGTAAATGGATGTTCATTCCCCTAAAAATGGTATTAATAGGTATTGACCCATACCCATATGTACATCTACATAATGCATAACACTACATAATATTAATATTAATATTATATTAATATCTATAAATAGTGTTGCCTGGGACTTATCTACTCCGAAATTTATCGCACTGAATTCAACTGGCTTCAACTTTTACACATCCAACGCGCGAAAATCTCCCACCAGCCGCCTGAAAGATCGGTATCCATTGCCCATCAGCCAGCTGCAGAAAGGTGGAATCTTCCACCTCCACCTGGCTGTGTTTAACACCAAAAACTGGGTCCCATTTTGGGGTCCCATTTTTGGGTCCCATGGGGCAACCAAAATAGGAAGTCGAAAAATTCACAAAATAGGAAGTCCACTGAAAATGAGAGCAGTTGACATGAACAATTTTCTGTTTGAAAGTCTGAAATGGCATGATTTGCTTGGTTGAAAACAACAATTTTCAAGACGGACTTCAAAAGAATCCGATCCCACCCGTTCCAAACAGTTTGAGTCATTTCGAACGTTCGATGTGGGGGCGCATCATTTGACGCGATTGTTTGCCCCCGAAAACCGGCGGGTCTTCGTAGTAGGTCGTAGTGGTAGAGAATACTCTCCAGGTATCTAAATTGGGATCCCAAGATATTTTTAAGACATAGATGCTCTTCAGCACTTGGTCTAGGAGGGGTCGCCTGCACGTTTTTATAGCAATGCCCCAAAAGCCATCACGGTGTCTCCACCTCCTTGATGATTTTGATGTGATCATCTGATGGTGAAAGTGTTCCAACCTTCGCCTCAGATGTGTGCTCGGATGCTGACGTTGGGGTCGTGTTAGGTTGCCGTTGCTACAAAGTGGGGCCCCCAAACGATAGCTAAGTTGGTGAACATAACTCCAATAACTATGGTTTATGGTACTTGTAACTATAGTTTCTGGGGCTTATAAACCAACTTATAACTAGGGGGCCCCACATTGTAGCGTTGTTGTTACTTTGTTGTCATGGTCTTTGTCGTCGTTGTCTTCAGTTCTTTTCTGTTCTTTTCTTGCTCCTTGTGGCAGGTGTACTGCCGCTGTTGACAGTTGGAACGCCATGCAGTCTCCACGACTCCACCCAGCCAAGCAACTGCTGAAGTGCTGGCTTCCTTGCGGTGAAAGCGAAGCGATGACATTTCGGGTACCACGAAATGGGTCATGGTGTGATCGTTTTGGTGGGAGTGCTATGATTGCCATTCACATCTCCTTGCTAACAATACAGGATAGAAAAACACGTTGAGTCCACATTTCCCATGCTTGCCCCAGTGGACATGTCCCGGATTTTGCAGCATCCTTCAGGATGGGTAGATCTTTCACATCTTCGCCCACGTCGTCACCTAGAAAAGCCAAATGCAATTACCAATCTCAGACTGAACCATGAATATGTATGAATATGTATGAACATGTGTGAATTCGACCCTTGTCTCTCCAGCCATCACTGTGCTATCTGAGTTGAGAAGCACCACCGAATATCATCCAAGCAACTCGTCAGCCATTTCCACCTAGGGAGCCGTGGACGCAAAGGATGTGAAAGGTTGCGCATTGATTGATGGTCAGCAATGAGAGACCCCCAAATTCATGTGTTAAAACCTCATAGTTCGGATCACACCTGAACAAACATGTCATCACTAGCGATAGTTCAACTTCAAGACCCCAAATCTGGCCTTGTTTTCCAGAGTGTTTCAACTCAGCCAACATCATTGCCATAGCATCCCGATCCACTCTACATGTTTCAAGTTTTTCTGAGATCCGCTCATATTTTTTCTAGTTTGTCTGAAAAAATCTGAAAATATCTACGAATCGCCATGATTCTTCATCATGTTTGGGCCATGAAACGGCATCACTTCATGGATATGCTTCCATGTTTAGACACACCCGCAGAGGGAAAAAAAAACTCTCCACCTCGCTGCCCAGCCACTTTAGTTCGCCCTCCTTGGGTTCAAAATCCTTCGGCACCACCAGACATAGCACGCCCCAGCGCCGTTCCGGGTAACCTCTCAATAGGTGGTGGGAACACCCCACATGGCATGCGAACAAGGGACAGACTAACCGCTCTGGTCACGGGATCTGCAACTTGAGATTCTTCATCGACAATGTATCTACATCGAAAATCGAAAAGTTGGAAATCCAAGAAGTCATTACTAAAATATACTAAAATCTCTAACATACACTAAGTACTGACATCTACTAATCATTCAAATTTGGGATCAACGTTTGACGAGGTACCACTGGCTACCATTGCCATTCCCTCTCTGTACTGCCAGGTGGCTACAGCCATCCCCATCCGTCTCGAACTGGACCTAGGACTTCGTGGCGCACGATGCGTGGTGAAGCCAGATTTGTTCACGCGGACTGGACATGTACCCTCTGGTAAATTAACATAGACCCTGAAAATAACCAAGTTTTAATGGAAACTAATCTTCCAACTTCCAACCCCTATCTGCCAGGGTCTATGTTAATTTACCAGAGGGTAAGTGTTTTCAACAGATTGTGGATTTCGAAAATATGATGTATAACAGTCAACATGACGTAACCATGATTTACGTTCATTGATAAGTTTATGTAATCTATGAATTTCATGATCTGACTATTGATGAAGCAAACGCAAAGGAGGGGGAGGAGGAAGTTCGGCTGTACCTCGTATTTGCCACCAAAAAAAGACAGCCATCCGTGAATCTGTGGAGGAATACATGACAACATGGATGGATGGTATTGGGTGTATGATAAGCATGGCAAATGAATGATGCATGCCTAATCTCAGATACGTACTACACACACAAAAAAAAAAAAAAATAGCCAAGTAAGTATGACAGTCAAAACCATCAAAATAGTCAAAAAATGCCAGTTTACCCAGGATGGGTGAGATGGGTGAAAGTTGAGATGGTGAAACCAGAGATATCAGATGATCCCAACGATGGCATTCAAAAAACGCAGGGAAAGCGATAGGAGTTTGACAGCTGATGTAAGGGCATTTTATGGAGGCGACATGCACAAAATATCAGAAAATTGGGAAAACTACCGCAACCAGTACTGAAACTCAGCAATTGATTCTCGGACAGTGCGTCGAAGATCATTCCAGATCCTTTTTTCGGACACCTTGACACCAGCCTGGCATTACTAACGACCCATTTGCCAATATCTACCACCAGCCAGGTCGTGCAGGTTTTGTTTTGGATGTAACAAGGTGCTGTGCAAAAGTTGCTTTCAATGTCGTAGTTGTAGAAATTCTCTGAGTACATCTCCACGTCGCAGCTCTGCTCAGGTTCCTCAGAGGATGAGATTTCTGCGCGGCAAAGGGGTTTTTCATGTTGTGATGGAAACACCATAGGGGTAGATTGTGAAAGAAGTTAGATAAGCTGATGAAAAATGATGATGGGGATTAAGCAACAAGACGAGTTGTGTTATGTAGAGTCCGACAAGATGGGTGATGTGAAGTTCTTGATGTAATAACAATCTCATATTCTCGGTTATATATATATATATATCCCCATAATAGTCTTCTTTTAGGTGGTTTTTCACCGCCGGATCTTCGGTCAGAATCTACAGTAATTACATCCAAATTATCTTGGGTCAAGCAATTGCTATGCCAGAATTCAGCTCTTTTCTATTCTTTTCTTATATGTTCTTTCCAAGCTTGCTTCCTTTCACCACCCCTTTTCAAGCGTTTTTCCATGTTGTTTTCCATGGCGCTTTCAGCAGAGCATCTTCACATTCCAAGACCAAGGTGACGTTTTCCATCTCCAACAGCTTTTCGGGATTCGCCACCAACTCCTCCTGGGGATGGGATGGGATGGTAATGGGATGGTAATGATGGTAGCAACTGGATGTTTTTAAAGTTTAATGATCTGCTTGGTGGTTTCAACCATCTTGAAAAATATGAACATCAATGGGAAGGATGACATCCCATGTATGAAATGGAAAGTAAAAAATGTTTGCAACCACCAATCAGTTATGTTTAATTAATGATAATTAGACGTAGCCTCCGGTAAATTCACATATAGAGACCCATAAAATAGATTAAATTAGCCCGGGTTGAATGGAAACTACTCTTCCAACTCCCCATTCGGAGTTATTCTGTGTTGATTTGGGGGAGGGTAATTAGTGCTGTAGTTCCTTGATGCTGATGGTTCGAACATGGCCAGCAGAAACAGGAACTTGCGGATCTTACGGTCATGAAATGTGATTAGGATTGCCCACTGGTGCTGACTTCTTCCCTGCCCAGGTCGGTCCTTGGAAATCTTCGGCTGAATTCCGGTGTTGTCCTGCAGGCAACACTGCAGGTGTGTTGTCCAAAATGACCACTATCCGATAGTTGTAGTGAAGGATTCTGAACATAATCCACTCCCAAAGTAGATTGAAAAGTCAAATTCCAATCGAAAATGCAGTCACATTGGTAAATCCATGTCCCATCTATTTGGAGACCGCCACAGCAAAAGACCTGTCACATCCATGAATTTCATCCCGGGTAGAAGATGAACATATGATACATATGTTTGAAACCGCCAACCAGAAGATTCCATTCGATCTTTCCGAGCACAAAACTTCCCCTGCGCCTCGCTGAGCGTATCTTCTACCGACAGCACCCATCCGCAGCGCACCTTACCCAAGGCTTTGAGGTGGATGCGAAAAAAACCAACCAAAAATGATACAAGCAGTCTGGATCCCTACATTCAATCAGGGACATGTAGCAGCTGCAGGGTAAGGAGCTGTCCACTTCAAACCAAACCACCATTGCTGAAGGATGTTTGCTGGTGGAGAGCGAATCACGCAACATGAGGCAGCAACAGCTACCTTCACATGTCAAACATGTCAAACCTTGGTCAGTTTTTTTGTCACCCGTGGATGGTTTCAATATGGACCCATCGGTATCCCAATTCTATTGGGCTCAATTGAAAATCTAAATACCCTCTGGTAAACTAACATACAGTAACTATGGAAAATCACCATGTTCAATGGGAAAATCCACTATAAATGGCAATTTTCCATATCTATGTTAAATGACCAGAGGGTATCTACGGTTTCTTCATTTGGTATACCAATAGATTGGTATAGTGACTATCGCTTTTCACGGCCCATCCGGGCGGTATCGAAAGTTTCCACCAAGCGACTCCCGCGGAAAAGGCCAAGCCAAGTCCCAAGTCCTCGATCTTGGGATTCTCATTATCTTCCCGCACCTGGCAGCCGAAGGAGAGGATGATGATGGCTGGTTTTTTTTCCTACCCATCCCTACCCATCCCCAAAAAAATCATATAGATATATATAATTATATATATAACATATATGCGTGTATATATACCCTCTGGTTATTTAACATAGCCATGGAAAATGGTCCATTTATAGATGGTTTACCTATTAAAAATGGTGATTTTCCAATATATATATTATAGTCAATGTGGAGATCATCCATTTTGGAATTAGAAACGTCTGAAAAGACCAGGCGAGATTTTATGGTGCATCCAGCCGCGTTCGTAAATTCCATTTTTGATCATCACTACACTGACAGCGTTGGAAGGGTGGATCACAACTAGAAAGTTTATAACTATGGTAATTAATATGGTTTATTATATTTATAACATGTTATAACTATAGTAATTAACTGGCGGACTATAGAAGCTGGCGGACTTGTTGCTCTGATCCGAGTTCAACTAGACTCTGGATCTGGGTCCGATAATCCCCTCCGGTGTCATCAAACATGCCTGGGAAATCCCTGAACTATGGGCATTTCAATGGCAAAATCATCCACAAATTGTAGATGTCCCATTGCCAGATTGAGGGTCCGAAAATTGGACCCACTGTGTAGGGCAGATCTTCTTAGCTGAGTGGAACAGAATCGATTCGGATGTTCATCTACCCTTACTGTATATACAGATATTCATACATAATCATACATATATGTACATCTAGATTTGGCGACGGCTCAAAAATTAGGTGCTTAATGGACCCACAGAATTGGTTATGTTCAGTATTTCCCTTCCAAGTTTTTGGGGCAGATAATTTTGAACCATACCCATTTGGCGTGTTTCACTCACGCACTGGTATATGCCCCAAAAAATGGTCACTTTTTAAGGAAAAATCCGGGTTAAGCAATAAAGAATCGGGGGTGTCCGATCATTTTTTGGACGAAGCCAACGGTGGAGCCCCAAAAAAATGTGACGACGTCGTCAGCTTTTTCCCGCGCCTCGAACTTCTTAATCTCATCGCTGACCTTGCCTGGGACAGATTCACCGCATCTCAAGGCACTAAATCCACTACCATCTGGTTATGACTAACATAGCCATGGTATAGATGGCCCATAGAAATAGATGGTTTACCTATTAAATATGGTGATTTTCCATGGCTATGTTAAATAACCAGATGGTAATTCATTGAGTGATATCCAATTTGGGTGATCCCCAGTACTGCTCCAGAACTTTGCTGCATATCACGACACCCTGTTGGCATCTTGGAAAACCAGACCTTTCCCAAGAGTTGACTCGGTCCAAAAACTGGATATTAAAGGAACAAATACTAGTAATCGAGTAAGACTGGGTTTTTGGAACGGATCAACTATGGATTTTTTATCCTTTTCCCACAGCACTAGTACTTCGAAAGCCTGATCTAGTGGAGACAGCTGGGGATAGCTGAGAGCAGCGGATTGGAGTTGGAGTGTGAGACCGCTCCCTTTTTGTCGTTTTTCTTGGTGTTTTCAACAACTTCTTGATGAAGTGAACCTAAATGACGACTATATGACTGTATCTCTGTGATTGTATTATTTCATATCAGTTCGTATCATATCAATGTGTTTATTGCTGCCGATGTTTACTACTACTACTACTACTACTACTACTACTACTACTACTACTACTACTACTACTACTACTACTACTACTACAATTATACTACTACTACAATTATACTACAACTACAATTATACTACAACTACAACAACAACAACTACAACTTCAACAACAGCCACAACAACAACAACAACAACAACAACAACAACGACAACGACAACAACAACAACAACAACAACTTCAACAACAGCCACAACAGCCACAACAGCCACATTAGCCCTGGCGCCTTTGAAGGTGATGTGAGCTTCTGGTACCAGTCGATGAGTGCAACCTGGACCAAAGTCAAGTCCAGCGAAGAATCAGGGGATTTAGTGTTTAGTACCTCTGGATATACCTGAACAGCTTGTGGTAGATATGGGTTTAGAACTTCTGGGATCATTAATTCCAGTTAAGTACTTATAGGATCTTATTGGGGATGAATTCTTGGTCGATTCTGAGCTGCCTGATCAACTGGCCAGAGAAGTTACTGCGAAGAATCATGAACAACCAGTAGTGAGGGGTTCAGGGCGGAAAATTGACAGTATGTCAATCCGCCAGTCAGGTATAACTGCGCGATTCCAAAGAATGTGAAGACGTATCAGAAAGTGTACATCTGCGAGAGCCTGAAACACATAAAAAGGACCCTTCTGGCCCATCTACTAGGTATGAATTCAATTTGGGCTCTACTAAATCAATTCGACATAGTTCAGAACTCTGGCCTCTTCCATTCAGGCTAGTCCATTAATCGAGGCAGGATGTCGGTCACACGCGTAATCCCTCACTGAGAAGACCTTAACCAAAACCAATAGCCACAAAGTTTCACCAAATTTTGGATGCGACACAATCCAAGACCCATCAAAATTCACCTGTGCCCGCTTGCCCGCTGTCCAGAAGATCCCTGCTCTCGGAGAGAGCTATGACAGTTCCTGAAATTGCTGGAAAATCCGCCCGCACCGAAGGTGCTGGGGCGTGATCTTCCGGATGGCACTCGTAAAAGGTTACAGGTTTACCTGGGGGGGGGGGGCATTTTTCGGCCAAAACCTCCTGTTTTTGATAGGTCGTGACGCTCGCCTTCAAAAAACACTGTAAAAAACAGTACGGAAGACACCTGTTCGTGAACGCGCCAAAATCGGCAAGCGAAAAGTGGAAAAAACCCGTGTTTTTCAACTTTTTGACCTCAATTTTTTGGTTTGCAACATCTTTTTTTGCGGTTCCGCAGGTGGCCGGGCCCGGAGGAGGATTTTTGAGTTTTTGGACCCGTTTTCGGACTGATTTTCGTCGTTTTGTGATAGCAGAAACACTGGTTTTTACAGTGTTTTTCTGTTTTCTGCATGCTTGACGGCTAGCTTCAAAACTTCCAAAAACCTCGTAAATTACGCTGTTTTATGTTACGGTGTGAATGAAAACATCGTAAATACCAGTGTTTTTTGACGTTGGTTAAAAAAACACTGTAAATTACAGTGTTTTTGGCCACCTGACCCTCAAAAACCATGGTATTTGCAGTGGTTTCTGCTTCTCGCCGCGCAAAAACACTGTAAATAACAGCAATTTCGCCGTTTTTTCATGTTTTTCGTTATTTTTTGAACTGCGTTGGTCCGCTATACATGGCTATCAAATTCTTCGCGTTTTTTTTTCCGACAATCAGTACTTTCGGATGTTTTTGGTCTCAATGGCCGACATCATTGGCAGTTACGAGCGGCTGCCTAACGATGCGGTGCGGGCGGTTGCCGTCGCGAAGCGACGTGAATATCTTGTGAATCTTGTCCAAGTCAATCCCAGCCATAGGACAAGTGTCAACTCAGGTATCTGAAATCGAGGTACAACAGTATATACTTTCATTGGATTCGCTCAAGCGGAAATTGTCACAGATGAACACACGAAGAAAAACCATGGGTCCCCTGTAGGATCTTCCATTCATCCAACCCTTTCTCACCTTGGACTACAGCTTCCCAACACCAGACTCCTCCAAGTCACCGTTGATGAAATAGAAGGTGAGGTTTTCCTGATCCAACCAGTGGCTTCCCCCGTGCCCTCCCGGATCTACATGACCAAAATGGGTCGCCTTGGAAGTCCATCACATGTTACAACCCACTTCAATGTCACAACAGCCCAGTTCGAAACCCTGATTGGTAAGTCGTGAATTCTGCCATATATATATATATATACATAATATGGGTGAACGAACAAATGCTTAAAACGCCAGTCACGATCGGGATGATCCTCCAAGTAGAGGCTTTACTATGGTAACTCTGTACCCTCTGGTAAACTAACATAACTATGGGACATCACCATTTTTTATAGGTAAATCAACTATAAATGGCCATTTTCAATAGCTACGTACTTACTACCATCATGCATCAACCAGCCGTGCCAGCCTCGTCATCCCAACTTGTCTTTGCCAGCGCAGCATTCAGGGTCTTCACCTCGCTCAACGGTTAAATGATTGATTTTCAACATTCATGCGAGGACTTGCTGCTCATGGGATATATCCATGATATATGTAGATACACATATAGACATATATATATGTATATGTGTACATTATTATTATTATCATTATTAGTATGATTATTATTATGATTATTATTATTATGTATACATAGAGATATGCATATACGTGCATATAAACTTTCTGGGAAAAGGCTGCATCTTTGCTTTGATTGGAGTCTTTGTAGATTTGTCGTGTCCATGATTCACGGACACGTTGTCGTTGTGAAAAGGAACAAATACGAGCAATCGGGACAACCCCTACTGCCTTTTGCGCGGATTGAAAACACTCACAGCATGTCTTTCCACCAACTATCTGAAGAGCGCGAGAGTGATTATGTTGCCTGACACAGGAAAAGTGAGCCAACATGTAGGCCAGGTAAATCATCTGGCCCAGTATACTTCGAGTGCCCTCCAGTAAACTAACAGTTACATCACCGAGATCAAAGGACCATGTTTCCATAGTACTGTTACACTAGTTTACAAAAGGGTACCCAATAATTGACAAATGTATGACCCACAATATTCTCAGGACCCAATACTGGAATGATTCATTCTCAGAAACGATCAGAAAAATCTGTGTTTTACAACGGCCAAGTTCCCCATTCCACGAACCACGTTGTGAAAAGAAATCTGCTGCAGCCGAGAAGCTGCACCATCTAGATCTTTCCTGGGAGCATCACCCACAAACGAATCAACATATCACTGCTGGTTGAACCACCATGGATGGTTGGTGAACCACCAGGGATGCATATCACCGGTGGTTCAATCATCCTTGCCATGGATGGAGGATTTTGTGCTTTGAAACCACCGAGCAGATCTGTTGAATCCTCAATTACAAAAAGCGACTCTTTTCCGTGAAGGTGAAGGGGGAGAGGATGGGCAGCTTTGTTGATAACAGGACCAGAAGCGGCCATGAAAGACACGGCAAACAACTGCAAAAAACGTTCTTGACTAAAACAAACCCGTGATGCTTTTGATTTGGGGGGTTCAGGATCTCTCATTCCAAGAACTCATAAGACTGTAGTAGGTACTTGATGTTGAAGAAATTGGATGAATTTTGTGACTGACTCTTTGGGAAACACCAACACTGACAAGTGTCAGTACATCCTCAGCCTGCATGGGTTCTTTGGTCATACCATCTCCTGCAACATGTTGACTGAGGGATTAAAACACTGGCTTATTCATAGGAGGTACCAAGATTAATAGTAAGTTGGACTCCAAAATCATCCCCAATTAATAGTCTGGGGTTAACAACCCTGCGGGTTCACATTATTCATCGGCTACCAATTTGAATAGTATTTCTTTACACTATTTATGGGTGCTAGTAAATCAACCAGTATCAATGCGGGGGTGGCATTTTCGAGATGTGCTCTTCTTAGCTTGATTGCACCCTCTCCTGTATCAAAGTATTCTGTTGCTTTTCTAGTCACAGGGAGACACAGAACAGGAGGTGTTCATGAGTCTGCTACTGCTACTGCAAGCATTTGAAAAAGCCACCAACACTGGCGGCTCCCAGTTCCTCCTATTTCGTCATAGACGCTTTGGCTCCAACCCAACATAGTTTGGACCTCAAAAAAATGGGTGGTCGCAGTCCCGCCGAACATTGAGTTTTGCTGGCATGTTTTTGCGTGCGATCATGTTATACAAGTGTATTTCCAGCACGTCGCAGCCATGTCTTGCAAGTCCAGACCCCAAGCAAACATTTGGTCTCCACACTTCAATGAGTACAAAAATATATGGCAGTGGGTCAAAACCTTGTACCCCTGTAGTTCACATCAAAATAGCTGGTAAATGGATGTTCATCCCCCTAAAAATGGTATTTTCATAGGTATTGATCCATACCCATATGAATCCAACATCTCAGTTTTTCAGTTGCTTCGGGGAGTCATCTTTCACCTCATGGAGACCGCTGCTTGGAACATCGCCAAGGAACCACATCAAGGCGATACCAATCCTTCACGCCTTCCTTGTGTGCAGTTTTGCGTTCCTTGAAACCTGTGATACCAACCTCAAGGCCGGGGCTGCAGATCTGAGTGGTGGAAAACGGGCTGGAAAAGAACCAAAAAATGCCGTGGAAAATGGAACAATCCACCATTTTAAGGTCTTGCATTAGAAACTGGTTGGTGGTTGACCTACCCCTCTGAAAAATATTAGTCAGTTGGGATGATTATTCCCAATATATGGAAAAATAAAAAATGTTCCAAACCACCAACCAGGAAAGTATGGGAGTGTTTATTCTCGATGATCTACTGCTGTTTCATTATCACCGCAGTTCTTTCGTTACCCTCTGGCAATTCAACCTGGCAATGGAAAAACCCTGTTGATAGATTTTTTCCCATTGAAAGATTTGATTATTTTCGCACCCATTTTGAATTTGAAGTTCTGGTATCTGGTGAAATTTGTTTCAATGTTCAATGATACTAATGTCCTTGCACGAATCAAGGAGTTTGTTGAACAAGGACAGGAAAATGATCTCGGGTACTGGAGATACAAAACAGCTAAGTGCCATCACACACAGCCGTCAAAGGGTCCTTTCTTGGAGAACCATTCCCGGCCCCAAGAGCGTATGTCTCAAAGTGGGGATGGTTTATCGCAACGTTCTTTATCGAAATAAGCGTCTCTATCCAACACATCACTTTTTCTATTGAAAACATCAGTTCTCATGGTATGTAAAATTACCGTAAAATCTGGCTCAAGTCCCAATTTAAGGCAGGCACTAACCCATCTGATGTTCTTGTATATCCAAAAATATATACCCATGTTATTTTACATCTTTATGTTTGTATATCGAATATATATATATATAATTATTTATATATATATAATTATATATATATATATTCCCCATCAATTGATGGTTGCTTCAACCCTGCCCTCAGCTCCACGGTCGAGGTGCCGGTGCCATGGGCATCGACTTCTCCAGTTTGAAGCCTTGGATCTCATCACCTGCCGAGGGTCGACTTGTGGCTTCAAGTTGAAAAACATATATTGTGGCAATAGAAGAACATCTGAATCTAAATTTCTAAATATTCTATCGATTGATTCCTGGGTAAATGAAATCATATTTCACTACGCTGAATAGTTCGGCCATTTTGGGATGATTCCCCTTACTATGATTATAGTGAGGTCGCAATGAGGTCGTTATAATTTACCCAGATATCCAGATATGCTTATAATATATATTACTAACCACTATTGCGACCTATGTATCTAAGATCCTATTAACGATAGGTTAACTTTACCCAGATATGTTTCATGTATATACATGAACATTGTATCTTAACTTCAGTTGTCAATACATGCAAATATGAGTCAGTTGGGGCACGAGTCATTTGGCACCACGATTTCACCGTAAAGGGAGGAACTCACAGCAGCTACCCCAAGCCACCCCCAGACCGGGTCGACCCAATGGCTTTGAACAAACATAGGCTGATGGGCATCAACTCATGTGAAATGATTTTAATATATTTTCATAATACCATGGGTATACTAATGACCCCCATCCCACCATCGAAATGAGGAAATTCGGAAATTCCCCAAGCCATGTCTCGCCTGGCTTGGTGGTTTTCAGGAAGTACTCCACCCTGACGGAACGTCCAATCGTCCCAAACATGTGTCGAACTTTTTCCCAATAATATCTGAAACCACCAAAAAGCAAACTGCGGAATGATGTCAAATTCTTCTATGGTTATTATAACTGTATATTTTTTTTTTACTTATCTATATATCTCTATATATTACATTACTTATCTATTTATATATATATATACTTATCCATTTATGTATTTTTATGTGAATAAAACATAAAAAAAAAAAAACAGAAAATCACTAGCCGCACTAGCCTGAAGGCCATTTGGGATGATTTCCCTTATTACTCATCATTCTAGTGACCTCGCAGTGAAATCGTTATAAGTTGTTCTGAGATATAGTGGTAATATAACGCATTACAAGATTTCAAACCAGCAACCAGGAACTTGCAAGGCAGGATCAAAAATATCAAAATTTCATTATGTCCGACGTGGGAAAATCCATCCTCCAGACCATTTTGGACAGCTCGAGGTTTCTGGGGACACCTTCGGGATTTGCCCTGGAATGATCCAAATCTGGGTTGCAATGTTGATGAATAGTAAAACAAAGTTGGAGGAGATTGGGCTGCAACATTGATCAAAAAACAACATCATCAAAATGGGATGGTTCTCATGAAATATCCCCATTAAGACCCAATAAAATCCCATTACCATTGACTCACCATAAAATTCTCATCAAATCCCATTCAACCATCACGAAATCCTCAAAAAAAAACATTAAACACCAGCATATTGACGACAGTGTCTGGCTCCCTAAGGTGGTTGGAACGTTTCACAAGGCCCAGCAGGGCCTGATCTTTTCAAAGTCCCCGTCCACCACGAAAGCCTGGGCTGCGGTGATCCTTCGAAGGTGAAAGGTTTGCTCCCTAGACTCCAGATTCATCTGGAAGGAAAATTGGCAAATGAATAAATAGACAAACAAATAAACATGTATCATATCTATATATATATATATGTTTATACGTGATTGCATATATATATATATATCAATCGAATCGCACCAACCTTGATAATGGACCTGATCTTTTAATGCTTTGTGTGTCTGAAAAAGATGTAACCAATGTAACCCATCATCATGTTCTCCCTGTAGGTCATAACTAAAAATGTGTTCAGCCCAACCCCAAAAAAATGTCTGAGTCATCGGGGATCCATCATCACAAATATGGTCAACAACAAAAACATAAACTACCCAACCTGGTTATGTCTAACAGTTCGCCATGGAAAGATCCACCATGTTTAAGAACGGTAAACCATCTATTTCTATGGGCCATGGCTTCCATGGCTATGTTAGTCATACCCAGAGGGTACCAAGC